GGGGGGGGGGGGGGGGGGGGGGGGGGGGGGGGGGGGGGGGGGGGGGTCCGCGGATGCGATTCTGGTGGGCCCCCTCCCCGTCCTCCCGTCCGTCTTTGTCGTCGGAAAAGAGGAAGGTAGCAGCTTCGGCGACGAAGCGGATAGCCTGGTGCTCAAGAGGCCTTCGACGAGTTGTTCCGCGAACGGCGGCGGGAGCAGCGCCGACGGCGGGCGGGGGGGACGAGAGGAGCAGGCAGGGGAAGAGGTGGTGGCGGTAACAGCCAACAACAACTCGCACGGGCGATTGGGGCGGGTGGGTCGGTGGAGGGGCGGCGGCCGAGGGGCGGCGGCGGCGGCGGTGGCACCGGAGCGGAGACAATCGGGAGGGGAGTCGGGTAGACGCCCCCCCGAATTGTCGCCGGGGATGGAAGTTTTGCAGTCGTGGCTTCAACGTTCTTGACGACCGCCTTCTTGGGGGTCCCCACCATGGGCGAGTAACAAGCGTGTGAGCTTGTTTCTGCGTTTCGCGATATGCGTGTGTTTTCCATGTGTCGTGTTACAGCGTGTGAAGCGGTGTTACTTGTCTATAGCTCTCCTCTTGTGATTGGCTGCCGTTGATGGGGTAGCTGCGGTAGCTCGCAGCAGCAGCAGCAGTAGTTTATGTTGATCTTCGGCCTGCCGTTTATGTTCTTAATAAGCATACTGGTGGCCGCGCTTTGTCATTCTCTCGGGCAGGGCGGTTTTCCTTTTCGGGATTTCCCGGCGTGTTCTCCTGCCCGCATGCAAACCCAGCTTTGCATGCAAAACATTTTCTTTTGTGTACATGCATTTTCTAAGGTGTTCGGTTTGTGTGTGTGTCGCGGCGAATGCACGAAACAACGAGATCAAAAGAAATGCCTGTGAGTCTCAACCTTCAGTGTGAATGAAGGACGCAGACGCAGCAACTACGTTCGACACGTACGGAGATTCAGTGGCGCGGGCTGGCGGGAAAAGCCAGCATTCGATTGGGGTTTGTAACAATCAGCTGGGCTCTGACGTGCTTGTAGCACGTTCCTCGTCTCGGTCCAAGAAATAAAGGCGAATGTGTAGCGGTTCGCCCACGGTGGTGGCTCCAGATCGACGAAACGCACCTGAAGTCAGTTTCGGGGAAGACGTGTAGATTTCCAATGGTTCTAACGGAGGCTCAACTTGAGCTGTGGTCTCAAGTCACGTGCCCGCTTCTCACAAAAACACAGGGGGGGGGGCGTACTCATAGTCGTGCATGCCGTAGTCGTTAGACCATTGACCTCGCATCCCTACAAAGCCGGGACGGAGCACGCCGGGTTCTCACCGCACCAGGCTCTCACATCACCAAGCGCGAAGCGCCGTGAGATATTCGGCGAGTCGCATGAAGGGTGCGCTGCATCCTGCTAAGGGTGTTCGGCATCTTGTGCTTACTTCCTTGCGTACGGATGACAGCTGCGTATGACTTAATTTACTTTCTGGTGCTTTCACTTCCAGAGACAGTTGTAAGCACTGTGTAACTGCCTCGAGGGTGCTTGACCATTTTAACACAACGTGGTGCGATCATCCCCCTTGCGCGGAGTGAGGGTTCTCCACCCCGCACAACATGATCTACTCGACCACCATTATGGTTACCGCCAAAAAAAAAAACGGAGGTAAAAAAAAAAAACGGTAACCTGGTTGCCGAGTTCACGAAGTGAATTGGCTTGTTTTACAACGTCGTTGCCAAGCGACGAAAACCCAACCCCGATGGCAAACACCGGGGGAGGTTGAACAGGGGGGGGGAACCTAAAGATTGACCCTTCTGAAGCCGCGGGCGACAACCTGGCGAAGGGTCTTACCATGCCACACGGATGAACTGGCACAAGGACCCGCACGGCGATCAACACCAGACAACAACGACGCCGTTGCGAAGGTCTCCTTGACCGCAGTAGATGTCTTCGAGATCCCATCAGCTGCGCGGAACACGCGAGCCTACGGCGCAAGGCCACCTTTCGACCAAGTATCGGTCTGAACAGCCGATATTCCGCCGCACCCACAACACCTCCGTACTGCCGTACTGCCTACAAAAGGCCTCGCAACAGAAGCATTACCCCTTGGGTGAGTGTGCTTTTCAGTTGACTGAGAGCATTCCCGGCGCGATTGGACGGTCCGCAGCACGCATGACAGAAGCAGCTGTAATTCGAGTTTTCGGAACAGTTCTCGCCAACATACGACGCCTTGTGTTTTTTCTTTTTTTTTGTCTTCACTTCAATCAGCGCTCACACAGCACTAGTGCCGTTTACTCCAACCCGTGGTCACACAGAAGAGCCCCTCTTTACCCTCCCCTCCTGCGATACGTCCCCTTCGATTGTTCATGCGAGAAGAGTTCGGCACTCTCTTCCCTCTGTACACACACGAACTAGCGCTATCCAATAGGCCAGGAGGAGCAGAAGCGAGAGAAAAACTCACTTTGCAAGAAAAGCTCGCTTATGCCGCGATTCGAACCCCTGACCTGACCTCTAGAAGGTGTCGAGGATACCAACTAGACCACCGGGGCGACCGGCTATGTTTGCTCCTCACAAAGCGCCGATGTGTGCTACGAAAAACAAACCATCAGCTGTCGCCGCTCCATTTCTATTTTCGTCCGAAAAACGAGGAGATCGACTCAGACCCGTGCTGCGATTTCAACACCCCCCCTCTCCCACGTCGCCCCCCNCGCCCCCCCCCCCTACCCGACCCCCTCCCGCGCCGCTGCTGGGGAGCCCCGCCTCTGCTCCCGCGTCCTCCTCCGCCTCTACCTGCGAAACTGCCGCCCGCCGTAGCCTTCCCTGCCGGAGAAAAGCGGAGTTGAAGCTGTCCCGCACTGGCCCCTTCCTGACCTCCCTGCGAAATCCGAGGCCCGGCGCCGGGATTTGCCAAACGGTACGGGGGGGGTTGTCATAGTCGTGCATCCCGTGTCGTTAGACCATTGACCTCGCATCCCTTCAAAGCCGGGATGGAGCACACCGGGTCTCACCGGACCAGGCTCTACGGTAGGGGTGGGGAGGGAGGGGGGCGTACTCTTATGTTTTGCATGCCTTAGCGGTAAGACCATTGACCACACATCCTCGAGAGGACGCAGCATCGTTCCCACAGGACCCGGGGGGGGTATCGCTTAGCTCCGCGGCAGTCCAGGATGCAGAACCCACCCACCGACGCGCATGCGCACCGCACCTGCTGCATCCAGATCTCCCTCTGTATGTCCGGAGGAAGTTCCGCCAGAACCGCCGGGTCGATGTCTCCAAAAACGCCCGAAGACCCTCCCCTGCCGAACAACGGGCGATGCCTGCTGTTGACGTCCACTCCGCCACCACCATCCCCGTGAAAGCGCTCGTCGCCGATCCCGTCCGCGGCATCGGCATCGGCGGCGGCGGCGGCGGAGGCGGTGGCGGCGGACGACCCCAACCGTTCCTCGAGCCCCGCTCGCCCGCCGACCGTGTCATGCCGGCCTTCTTGGACCCCCGCCTGGTCCCCTTCTCTTCCCACCATCCTGGCATCGACGGAGCGGGGCTCTGCTGCTGCTGCTGCTGCTGCTGCTGCTGCTGCTTCCTCTTCACGGTAACGCTTTCCTTGCCCCTGGCAGATCTGCGAGGTGTTGATCTCCCGAGGTGTGACGACGTGCAGCGGGACAGCGTCGTCGTCGCCCTCCTTCCGCTGCCCCTCGTCGTCCTCCCTCTCCCGGCCTCGATCTCGTCGGTACTGCCCGTCGCGCGGTGCCGGCGCATATCCCTCGTCTCCTTCCCCCTCCTCTCTTCGCCTTTCGTCCTCCGCCGCGGACATTGCCCAGAAGTCTACGCTGGACCTTCCATCATCTGTCGCGGCGCGGTCACTTTCACGACCACTATCTACATTCCGCCCGGCACGCAAAGTACCGTCTCGCCCCGCCTCGGCGGCCTCATCCTCCGGCGGTCGTGGCCGTTTATAACCCCCCGCCGCCCGAGCCTCCTCCATTGCTGCCGCCGTCCTTTTAGGAAACCCCAACGCGTTGCCCGTCGGGCGGGCTCGTGCTGCCTCGTCGACCCCGCGTCGCCGGCCCCTGCCTTCATCCGTAGCACGACGGTACCAAGCCGATGAGGATGGATTGGCGATGCCCCCCCGACGTGGAACTTCTTCTGAGGAGCTGGACTCGAGAGCCACGGCGGCTGGGGCGGCGCCGAAGAAGGACTGGATACTCCGGGTGTCCTTGCGGGAGTCCGCGAAGCCGTGGGCGGAAACGCCAAGCATCGTGAGTCTCGGGGCCTGCTTCATCATTAAGCGGGTTTCACCAAGCGTAGTACCACTAGTTCAGCGACCATTTAGAGGGTTTGGGGAAATTGAAGGGGAACAGGAAAAAGCGTTCGACTCGACAACAGACCCTCGGACACTTGTTGCACACTGCTGCGGAGGATTTCCCAAAGCCCGGGTAGTAACCCCCCCCGCCTCCCCCTCCGTACCCCACCCACCTTCCCATCGCCCGACCCCCTCAAGTTAAATCGTGTGAAAGCCCGACTCGCCTCGACTGAGTAGGCTCTGACCATCTTCATGCAAGCCTCAACGACAGGCCGAAGCTCCGGCTTCACCATGCGGCAGCAGCGCGACACTCCTTTTGAGCGTCCCTTCTATTCAGACGGGCAAGCGGGGCAGAGAGTCCCGAGGGACGCAAGAAAAACCGACGCCAGAAACAGAACATTCAGCAGAATGTGGCGGGAGGAAAAAAGCGTGGCGCGATAGTAAACGGGCGTCAATCCTACTCCGATGCATAGCTACACGGCGAGCGTTGGATGAAGGTGAGAGTCGGATCGAGCGTGGTCTGGGAAAATCCAAGACTGGGTGCGCACGAAAAGCACTCTCGAGTCCCTCGTTCCCTCCACAAGTATATACAGTGCCGGTGAAACCGTCTGGCACGTACGGAATATTTAGGTGTTTCGTAGTCTGAATAATGCTGGTGAAATCGCCTGGATCGCACCGGCACTTTTCTGGGACCCTTCCCGTACGGCCAGGGGATTTTCGATTTTCGTCCCCTGCATAAGTGGCACACGAGGAGAGCCAAGCACATACCTGCTGAAGCGCAGCAAAGCTGACGGTAAGCTTACTGGGCGTCTGCCCCTCGCCCTCCTGCTGCTCGACGAGTCGCGAGATCAGCTCCTTTGATAGCTCCGACAGCCACCGCTCGATCTCGGAGAAAGATCTGGTGTCCCAATTACAAAAAAAAGAAAAGAAACCTTCTATCTGGGAAAAGAGATGAGTTGGAAAAAAAATGGTCCCTGCGCGGGAATGCCACCGAATGGTTCTGCGGAGACCCGAACATCAGCCGGCTTTGATCGCCAGGCCCAATAAAACTCGGTTTGTGCTTGGGCAGCAGCAAACTGTTTTGTGCTCTTTAAACTCAGTTCGACGATCAGCAGCATGGACCTCGAAACAGTCATGTCATATTGCCTCACGTCAGCTTGGCCTTCCCAGGAAAGGTCTTGGAGCAGCCGACGCTCTTGGGGGCCGACCGCGCCTTCACGGGGTCCCTGCAGATGGCGTTCGACTTCTCCCACGCCCTCCAGCCCTCCTCGTCTCCCAGGACTCGCTGGAGCTCGGCAGCGCCGACGGCGGCCACTTCTCCTGACCACGCCAGCGACAACGACACCAAAGTCGTCGTAACACAACCAAGCAGAGGGGTTTTAGGTTGTCAGCGGTATCGCATGCGAATCGGAGAAGCACATCGGAATGGCGCTGTTGGTCTCTTGACCTTCATGCTCGGGGGCGGACAGCAGCCACGTCCTGGGAAGCGACAAAGGGTGTGGTGAATCTGCACCGCCTCGACTGGGCAGGGTGTACGCTGGGGAAGGCAATGAGCTGGCCCATCGTTCTACATTGGTGGACGGCTTGCCCTTGTTGCGAGAAAGACGAAACGCGCACTTCGGAGAAGAACACTTTTCCCCCAAGCACCGACACAAGACACCGCGACGCCTCACCCGCAGTCGAAACCCCGAGTTTCTCCATCATCTTCACCCCGAACTTTCCGCCCCAGCCCCTGACCCTCCCCACAGGCAGCGTGTGAAACACGGCCTCCACCTTGTCCAGAGGTAGCACGGTCTGGGCGTTTGGCTTGTGCATGTTACTGCACAGCTTGGCCAGGAGCTTGTTGTGGGCCACTCCTTCGGCACGCCAGAGTGAAGCAGGCAGAGCACAAAAAGTCAGCCATAGCGAGAAGAGTAGCACAACGCGCACGTGATTGCGCGCACGCGCGCGCGAGGGAGAGAGGGAGAGGGAGAGGGAGAGGGAGAGCTGCCCCACGGCGCTCTCGCTGGCGTCAGACGAATAGTGCTGTAGGACAGAGGGGGGGTCATCGGTGTTACCACGCCAGGTACCTTCCACATTACCTTTTTCAAGTCTACGAGACACCGCCGTGCCACTCCTGCAGAGCCGTACTTGCCACAAGCAGGGCAATAGGAGGTGACAACTCCAGCTGTGTGGTAAAACTGCCGCTACCGTCTCCCTTTGCCATGCCCCCCCTCCCACATGGTGATCGATTCTGAGGGAATAATGCTCTGTTCTCTCGAGGACGCGTGGTTACTAGCCTAACAACTAAGGCATGCAAAACATTGGTATGCCCCCCCCCCTCCCACGAAGAGAAATAGCCCACCCGCAGCACCAGCATGCAAAATTTACCACCCCCCCCCCCCCCCC